GTCAACATCAGTATTTCATTCAGAACACCTGACTCACACTGCCAGGATTCGATTTCTTCTGGGCACTAATCCACATATTGATAAGAGGGTTCTGAGCCCAAGGTACATTGTTATATGGAGTTGGAAGATGGATTTAAAAATCACTACTGACAGCACATTTTTATGTTAGCAAATTTTCGTCAGGACCCTATCTGCATAACTTGGGTTGAAGACACCTATGTCCTGGGAATCCCCTGACTCCTACAGAATAAAGCTTGGGATAAGCAAAAACATCTTGGAACCGAAGACAGGAGGAAACACAGAAACGGGGAGAGAATGAGTGCATTTGTGAGCACTGGTCCGGAACAGGCAGGTTGAGGGGCCGGACTGTCAACTGAGTGAAATCTCAATTACAGAGTAATCTAACGTATACCCAGGTACATTATCGCAACTCAATAAAGAGCTCTTCAGAATTAAGTAATTCCAATTTGCTTTCGTTCTGATCTGTGTTGCCCCGAGAATTTGATATTACCTACACTCAAATTACATGGCATCTTCTAAAGCCCAGATGCTCACAATCCCAGGATAGCACATGAACCATAAGCCAGCCAGCCATAAACACACAGACTGAGAGAGAGACATTGCTCGACGTGGTGCAAGCACCGGCTATGGATACCGTCAGAGGGGCCCCTATCCAGCTCCTGAGGCCCTGTGACCTCCCAGCCCCAGTATGCCCGCGTTCTGAATGGATGAGGCCATGTGGTCAGATGGCGGAGCCCCAGAAGGACCAGCTAACTTCTCCTTAGTTCCCAGATTTCCTGGCTCACCAGTGGTGGATAGAGGAGGGGACACAGGGAGCCTGGCCTAGCATGGACCCCATGACACAAACTTCCCAAGCCCACAGGTCAACACCCACTTTTATATTTCCACCCTCCCTTTCCCTATGCTTGGCACAGGACTGTATGGGGAGAGACCACCAGTGGCCCTCTGCAGGGGAGGACCACCACCCAAGCCCTTCACCATCTCTTAACCTCCTTACCTGGGAAATTACACCAACCTCGGCAAGTTATTTTTTTAACAAACGCTTCTAGGGCAATGGGCCAAGCACTGCTCTAAGAAACTCTACACACACTGTCTTCTTGAATCCTCTGGACACACACCACTCTGAGGTACGGAATCCTATATTCCCATTTCCAGATGAGCCAGTTGATGCTGGAAGAGGTTGATGTTCAAGGTCACAGAGCTGCGACGAGATGGGGCCAGGATTTAAACCCACATATCGGGGCTCTAGAGTTCTTTCCTGTCTCTGAATTGGAATGAAGTGAAGAAAATCTGGGGAAAAACCTGCCCAGGGGTGGTTTTCCTTCTGTGACATGCTCAGGTCAGCTGCCTGCCCCCCAGCCCACATGGACCTGTGTGATGTGTAAACCAGGAGTAAGAAACTCAATTTGAACAGCAGCACCATCCCCTGGGAGAAGACTTAGCCCTTGAGAACACTTTTGTTTTGTTCTTCCAAATTTCCTCCATTTCCTGAAAGAAGGAAGATTTATGTTTATTCCTTGTTGTTTTTTTTTTTAACAAGTGCAAATATTTCAGTACTAAAGTATCTGACCGTCCTGCTAAGTCATGGCAAGGAGCTCTAAGGGGCCAATGAGTCATTCTTCATAAGACACTTTCCCCCACATGCTCTGGTTTGCTGCCTTCCCATGGGCTCCTGGCCAGACATCCAGGGCGACAGGCCTCCTCTGATGAGGATTCCACTGATTCCTGCTGCTCTGGGCATCCCCTGCCTTTCATTTTCTTATTTGGCTTGGTTACCACTAGCTATGGGTGTGTGTGTGTGTGTGTGTGTGTGTGTGTGTGTGTGTGTAAAAAGGGTTAAATTCATTTCTTTGGGAACCTAGAAGGTAGTAAATACTCCATTCCAGAGACGTGGAGAGCAATTTAGCAACAGGTCCAGAGATTTGTCATGAGCTTTGCATGCAGTCTGGACCCTTTCAACACTGTTTATAACATCATGATACCAGGTGCCAACAAGGCTGCACGTGGCCAGTGTACTGCTCCCCCCAGCCCGAACCCCAGCCCAGGGTGCAGAGCCCACAAAGGATAAACCACTGTCCCAATAAACCCTGGCCACCCCTCCAAACAAAGGCAATGATGCTTCCCCATGGAAATGGCATCCTCGGCCTCAAAGCCCTCCGGATTTGGCATCCCACACCTCCTCCTCCTCAACAAGGGATGTAAAGGAAGAATAAACCCAGCTTTCTGGTTCCACTGGTCTGTGTGGAAAGATCAGAGCACTCCGGCAGTGGCCACAGTCACTCATCCCGTTATCTCCTTACCAGCCTCACGCCGGGCACCTGCAAGCTGCGGGTGAGCCCGCGGAGGGAGTGAGGGGATACAGTCCAACCTCTGGTGGGTTCCCACTCCAGTGTGTGAGGCTACCACGGAAGAGGTACGATGAACTGCCAGAGGGGGCAGCTCTGGAAATCACAGATTCACTGAGTGCCTGAGAGGCCTGCAAAAGGCTGCTTCATCACAGAAGTCAATCTAACGGCCCCAAAAAAGCAAATATATGAGCCTAATGCAATGGAAATGATGGTTTCTTTTACATATTAATGGCTCTCAATGTAAACGATTTTAAGATGGGTTTTTTTTTTCCCTATTGGTTGTTTTGTTCATGACTGCTTAATTTGTTGATCTTCAGCTTAAGTGTTCATGGTATTATGGAGATGAAATGAGTTCCTCCTGAGGCTAATAATTCATTCACTCATCCATCATTCAACAAGTATTTTAAGGTTCAGCCTTATGAAATGACCAACCGCACAGGACCAAACAGCTAAACGCCGGTGGTTTCATATGTGGGCGTGCTCGGGACGCGTGCCAAGCACTCGGCTAAGCCTGGGTGGACTTGTACAACATGAACCAAACCAAACAATGCCCCTATTCTCACAGTGCTCGTGTTCTAAAGGACAAGATGGAAAATTACCAAGAACACACACGAATAAAGGAAAAATGTAATTTTGAAGTGCAGTGCTATGTTGAACAAGGGACAAGGTGACCTGATAGAAAGCATCTAGCTGGGGTGGGGGCTGGGGATATCCCCTTGAAGGAGATGGCATGACGACATTCAAGCTAAGACCTGACTGATGACAAACGGTCAGCCATGTGAATATCCATCTAGAGTCAGGACAACCCAGGAGGGAGAATCTCAGACTAAAGCTCCCACCCCCCACCACCCCAGCAACCCTCAGTTTGTTTCCTGAGATGAAGAATTCCTCGTATCAGTGAGGTCATATGATACATGTCCTTCTCTGATTGACTTATTTCGCTTAGCATCATACCCTCTAGTTCCATCCACGTCATTGCAAATGGCAAGATTTCATTTTTTTTGATGGTGGGGGGTGGGAGGGATGGGGTGTCTGGGTGATGGACACTGGGGAAGGTTATGTGCTACATACAGTGAGTGCTGTGAATTGTGTAAGACTGATGAATCACAGACCTGTACCTCTGAAACAAATTATATGTTAAAAAAAAAAAGATAGTCGGAAGGGAAAAATGAAGGGGGGGAAATCGGAGGGGGAGATGAACCATGAGAGACTATGGACTCTGAGAAACAAACTGAGGGTTCTAGAGGGGAGGGGGGTAGGGGGATGGGTTAGCCTGGTGATGGGTATTCAAGAGGGCACGTTCTGCGTGGAGCACTGGGTGTTATGCATAAACAATGAATCATGGAACACTACATCAAAAACTAATGATGTAATGTATGGTAATTAACACAACATAATAAAATAAAATTAAAAAAAAAAGGTTACAGCTCCCAGTCTAGGTTCAGGCAGGGCTACCAACTAGAGGTTAAGGGGCCAGCAACTAGAGGTCAAGGCCCTCACAGCAACCCTTTGACCAAGGAAACCGACTCAGGAGACTTCCGGGGAAAGGGGGGGAGGGGGCGTCGATCCATGTTTTCACCTTCATACACACCAGGTGTCATTCCACAGCTAACATAGGAGGAATAGCTTCATTATTTCATTCACTAAAGTAATGCTATGTTAAAATTTTAATCGGTGAACATAACGCTAGAAAATGAGTACATCCATACACTGCAATTTTCCAGTGTAAACTGTCAAACCCATTTTTTTTTTTTTTTGCAAAAGCAATATTGCAACACAAAGAAAAATCCATAAAGATGCTGGTATTCTTTGGCCTACCAACTCTACGCCTAGGGAATTTATCCAAGGAAATAATTTGGTTCAATAGAATAAAAATATTCTCTTTGGAAGAACTCCATTGAGGTGTTAATTGATGCAGAGGAAAGATAAAACAAAAACCAAAAACACCTGGACTTACCTAAATGACTACAAATAGGGAGATTTTAAGAAATGGGGGGACTTGCTTGATGAAACAGTATACAACCATTAAGCATGACAACAGAGATTATCTAGACTTTCAAAACTAAATGGGATATCCAGCCCTTGGAAGGAGCAGAAAAGGCAACAACAATGTGCATATTTTAATGTAAAGCATGTTGACAATACCTCAAGGTGAACAAGAACAAGAAAACTGGAAAGAATTGAATCAAAGCCAGTGGGCTGGGGGGGGGGGGGATTTCGAAAAACCTTCCAAAATATTGTCATCAAATCGCGTTTTCAGTTAAAAAAAAAAAAAATCCCTCAGAAACAATTGTACACTCTCCGAACACGGCAGAAGACCACCACCAAAACACAAGGACGTTGGTTCAAAGTTTAAATGCAAAATAAAGCCAAACCTGGAGATGCCTTCCATGTTGTATACCCCAGAGGCTCCCACAGGTGGACCCTATAATAAGACTCAACTTGTTGAATAACAATGCAATATGCATGATTTTACAGTAACTCTGCCCCTTTCTCTGCAGGGTGGGAGTAGGGGACTGGAAAGGGTGTGTCTTTCCACTGAGATGAGAAGGGGCACCTGGATTCCTCCCACCCTCTGAGGGTGGGGCCGAGGCAGCCCGTGGGATCAGCCCTGTGGGAGGGGCCACTCACCTTTCACAATCAGCTCAGCATAGTTGGACACACCGGAACCGCCGTCAGAACGGATCACACAGCGGTACTTGCTCACACTCCGATGGGCGGTGTCGGCCACACTGACCGTGGCTGAGAAGCGTCTGTGGTTGACCACGCGAGTGACCATGAGGGCTGTGTCCCTGCCGTTCCATTGCTGCAGGACAGAGGGAGGGAGGGGGAGGAGAAATCACATCACCTTACGGCCCCCAGGGACTCCCCACTCGGAAGCTCCACCTGTCCCCACATCCCTGGGGCCATGGCTTTCCATAAGGAGTATCCACGGCTGGCTTTTCCAAGTGATCTGACTCAAGTATAAACTTTGCTAGCGAGCTGATTCTGGAGGGCAGTGCCTGATGGTAAGAAGAGAGGGCACGGGCCTCCTCCCGACACCTTGGTTCCCTGCTTGGCCTGAGCTTGAGGCTGGCATTTGGCCCTGAGCCCTCCTCCCATCTTCCTTCATCTCTTACACAGAACCCACAAGGTTCCCCCAGAGACAGACTCAGATAGGCTACTGAAAACATAACCCATGAAGTGACAATAAACAGCCTGGCCCTCAGCCCATGGCTGGCGCCCTGATACCCCACCCACAGGCCCTGAGGGACCCGTCTGTCTCCAGGCGTGGTGTGGATGGTGGTTTCCCAGCACCTCTTTGCTTTTTCCTCAGCCTGGGACCTCCCGTCTGCCTGGGGTCAGTCCCTCACCCCTAAAACCTCATGCTCAGCACATCGCCATCTCCGGTAAGTTCGCCTGTCACACCACCTTCTAGAAGCTATTTACTCTCTACTGGTCTTGTTGTGGTTTCGGGGTTTTTGTTTGTTTGCTTTTTTGCCTACACGTTTCCCCCTTTAGACTAGACTCGGAGCTCTCCGAGGGCATCCTTTAGCCCCTTTTCATCTCCAGCACTGTGCCCAATTTCCCAACTTGGTAAACAATTCTAGAATCAAGGTGAATGCACAAGCGTTTTCATCTATACTGTGCTGAATCTCAGGTGTGATAGTCTGAGTCTGAATGAGCCCCTTCCGTAGCAGCAGCAAGCAATGACAACTGGTAAGGTACATGCCTGAGGATGCAACCTGAGTGACTATTAAGCACCTTCTATGAGCCAGACCCTGAATCTCCTTTTTAATCCTCCCAGCCTTGTTTGAGGTATTACTGCTGCTCTTCTTAGCAGAATCCAAATGTCAGTGTGGCTGAGTAAATATGCAGAGCAAGGAAGTCCCTTATCCAGCTTTTCCAACTTCGGGTCAAGCATCTTTTCACTGAGACCCTATCCTCACTGCCTTTATTTCGTTTCCGAAAGTAAAACTGAGTGCTTTAATTACCTAGTTGGATTTCGGGAAACTTGAGGATTTAGGAGCTTCTCCACAACTGGAAACTTCCACGATGCGATCTTCATCCCTTCCTGTCCACAGTAAACACCTCCAGCACACACATGACCTGCTTCCATCCATCCACGTTCCCATTAGCGATGCGTCAGGCCTGGGACATGGGAGGGGGCAGGGCTCCAGGGCTCAGCTGTCCCAGGCCAATGAGATGGAACAGCAGGGAGGGCCGGGAGCAAACAGCCAAGAAACATGGGGAAACCTAGGCCTCTGTGTGACTTGCTCCAGACTGGACAGGGAGATTGGAGGGGCTGGCTTTCCTCTTTTTACTTTTTGGCATTCTCTAGACTTTCTGCCTCAAACACTGCTTTTATACTTGAAAAGAATAAAGGAACTAAAGGAAATACCAGACTTAAAAGCATGGCAAGAGGAGGGGCAACCATAACCCCTTCCCATTCCAGAAACTCTGCAACAGGACGGCACAAGATCAATGCAAGGGAACTGAAGGGAGAAGTCACTGGGGCGGAAACTGCCCACCACCTGCCTCATGCTCGGATACGTTTTTGCAAGAGATGGTACAACTCGCTCAGACTCTGAGAACTGACGACCCCAGACACGATCCCCTCTCCCAAAATATGCAGTGAGGAAGTAGAGGAAATTCTGGCAAATGCCAGGAATGTGACCTGATCTGAGGAAAAGTTGGCTGAAGGCACAGAAAGGTCTCAGAAGAGATGGGTCACCAAAACAAGCCCATTTTCTCCTCACTGCTGAGCAGTCCCTTTCACACCTGGGAAGGGAGCGTTGAGGCTCTGGCTGGGTATTTTCTAACCTGATTTTTTATAACATCATAAAGATTTTGATCTTTCTTAAGTTGACAGTGACTAAGCACTACTGTGGGCTAAGTGTTTTACATTCCTTCTTCATTAATTCCCCACAAAAATCTGTGAGGGGGGCCCACTTCTTATCTCCATTGTATATACAAGGAAGCTGAAGCTCAGAGAAGTGATCTGCCTGCCCAGGCTTGTACAGCTTGGAAGTGGCAGAGCTGGGATTTGAATGCAGGCCACCAGGCATCAGCACTTTGCCCAAAGATACCATGTGGTGCTCTAATGTGGGGTAACTACTCCCCACCCCACACCTCCTCTAGCACACTCATTCCCACATGTGGAGAAGAGAGTGGCCAAGAGCTACCTACGCACCACCAATTTCTTAGCTGAGGATCGCACCCCACCCCTCCAAAAAAGGAAAGACAGGTAGAGGAAGCAAAAATGCCGGACGTCCCAGCCAGACAGTTCCTCAGACACAAGGCTTTTCCTCAGACCTCCAATGCTTTGAACAGCCAATAAATTTATTTGGGAGATAAAAAGGAAGACACCAAGCATGAAGCCAGCACATGAACTCTACAGACCATCATCTAAGAGGTGAGTGGAGAAGGAAAAGTACTAAGAAAGAAAATAAACCTCAAAAGAATTACAGGAAACAAACAAGGGCACCATTTGCAGGATTCAAAATGGTGCTAGAAGTGAACGGCAGACTCAACACTGCAGAAGAGCACTGACAGCTGGAGGCAGGGGTGGGGGGAGACGTTAGAAAATAACCCAGATTTCCAAGAAGGCACCAATAAAAGGAGAGGAGGGAGGCAAATTGAGGAAGAAAACAGAGATCAGACAAGTATTTGGTACGCCTAAAGATGGGAGCTTAGGGAATGGAACACAAATCCTGTCCTAAGTCACATCAGCTCACTTGCCTGGATGAAAACAAGACCCAAACCCTTAGACTGAAATGGCCTACCATTCACTTGACAAAATTTAAGAAAACCACAACAATTGAGGTACGCATTTTACTTCACAAAAATATTAGATGTTAAGGATAAAGAAGCATATAAAAATCGAGGCAGAAAAAAAATACTGTGCTCAAAACGCCTCATCTGCAACTGCTCCCAAAGCCCAGACAACCTCTCTCCTGGATGTGGCTGGTCCCCCAGTGGTCACAGCTGAGCTCCCAGGAGGCTAGATACTTGAGAGAGGCCAGGGCAGGAGCTAGGGAAACATGGGACAGGGAATGATAATAAAACAAAAGCACACAAATGCCCAATATGTGCAGCCTTGGGCCCTGATTCCATTTCTCTCAGCTTTGGTTTCCTTACACCATTAATGGATGTGATACTGGTGCCCACTTTATGAAGTTCTCGTGATGCATAAATGAGAAAGTGTCCAGAGCACTGAGCCCATGACGGCGTATCCTGGTGTGAACTGAGCTCTCCAAATCAACCACGAAATTAACCATGAAAAGTGGGGTAGGGATAATGCTCCCCCCCCACAATGTCCATATGCTAATCCCTGGAACCTGGGAATATGTCACCTTCTATGGTGAAAGGGACTTTGAAGATGCTGATTAGGCTCAGGATCTGGAGATTTGGAGAGGATCCTAGATGATGCAGGTGGGCTCAATGTAATCACAACGGGCCTCATATGAGAAAGACAGAGGAGGGTCAGAGTCAGAGACAGGACATGTGGTGACAGAAGCAGAGGTCAAAGTGATGTGACAGGTGGCTTGAAGATGGAGAAAGGAACCAGAACCAAAGAATGCAGACAGCTTCCAGAAGCTGAGAAAGGTAAGGGAGCATATTCTCCGCTAGAGCCTCTAGAAGGAATGCAGCCTGGCCAACACCTCCATCTAACCCTGTAAGATTCATTTCTGACCTCTGATCTCTACCACCGCAACGTAATAAATTTGTGTTGTTTTAAGCCACTAAGTCTAATTTGTTACATCAGCCATAAGAAACTAACAAACAGCAAAGAGCCAATTAAGTGCAAAACATTCATTTTTTCATCTTTAAATTTTTTTGGGTGCCTGGGGGGCTCAGTCGGTTAAGTGTCTGCCTTCGGCTCAGGTCATGATCCCAGGGTCCTGGGATTGAGTCCTGCATCAGGCTCCCTGCTCAGCTGGGGAGCCTGCTTCTCCCTCTCCCTCTGCCTGACACTCCCCCTGCTTGTGTGCTATCAAATAAATAAAATCTTTAAAAAATTTTATTTTGATGTGACTTCCAGTATTATTTGCTTTTCTTCTTAATGATGTCACATTCCAGCAAAAACACAGAGGAGTAATGCATCCCCTGAACCATTCACATTTTTCTCTTTAGTTCCTGAACCACCAAGCTTTCTCCCACTGAAGGACAGGAAATTGCAGGTTGTCTTATAAAATCTCTGGAAAATAGGTCTTTGGATAATCACACTTGTCATATTGGGAGCAGGCAAGAGCAGGACAGGAACGTGGAGAGCCCACAGCCATGATAAGAAATGGCACTGCGATGGACCACCGGCAAGGAGAAATGAAGGTTAAGTTAGAGAGATGAGCTCAGACGAAAGGGCAAGTAGGTGATGAAGGTCAAGGCAAATGAGCAGCAACCGAGGAACCAAGATCAGGAGAGATTCTAGAAGACCAGGCACAGTGACAGGCTCAGCGACCAGAATGCCATAGCAACGTGAAGGGATTTAACCAGAAGGACTGTGTAAGCAGCACAAGTTCCAACCATGGTCTCAGCCCCAGACACAGGCAGGAAGGAAAATGCAAGGGGAGGTTTCATCAAGCAGGAACAGACCCAGGAATTCCAGGTTCACAGGCAACTGAGCGGGTCTGAGTGGGCATAAGGAGGGGTGGAGCGGGCAGGGTGTCGGGAGCCCGAAATGGACTGCAGCCCAGAGACAAGGTGGAAGAGTAAATCCTCCCAAGACGCCAGGTGCCACGTACATGCTTGGGGATACAAATGCTAGGATGCGAGGAAAAAGGAGCAGAAAAGCTAAGAGAAGTCAAAGTCCTGGAAAAAGCCCAA